TATTCTGCAAGTCTGCTTCCTGGCTGCTATCTCTTAGTCCCTCAATTCCTATGAATCTAGAGTCCTCAGCTGCTCCCTCTCTCCGAAGAGTTTTAAAAAGTAGAACAGAAACTGAAGCGGGGATCAAAAAGTTCTTAAGAAAGTTGGACTTAAACCCGCTCATTCTGGCAGATTCAATCCCCTGGGAATACCACAGAACCACCCTCTGCATGCAACTTTGTATCAGGCTCTTTGTTAAAGACTCAAAGGCCAGACTCACAGCACAACTTTGAAAGTGATAGAACCAAACATTCATAAATACACCAAAGAGACAGAGGGAAGGAATGAAGGAATCCAGAGCCTGGAAGGAGTAAAGGAGAACTTTGTACTTGTAGCTGCATCCCTGAATCAACAGGGGAAGTGGCCAAAGTACTCCACCAGCGATCATGGGGGCACCAGAGGAATTGACAGTCCTGGATTGCTACATGATGAGAAGCTGGAGGAGTTGAAGACCAGAGCGCCAAGTAATCAAAACTTCAATAACAAAGTAGTACAGAGGGGACAGGAGTTCTTGGACAGTATCGGGAACTTCCTATATAGAATTTGAGCCAGGACCTTACCTTTATGGAAATGCCACGTGAAAACAGTTGGACACGTGTATTTGGATTTGCCTGGATTTGTGCTTACCTATTAGCCACCTTAAGGAGCTTTGGTAGCGTAGTGGTTACGAATCGGGCTGCGAACCGCAAGGTCAGCAGTTCGAAACTACCAGCTGTTCCGCGGGAGAAAGATGAGGCATTCTGCTCCCGTACAGATTTACAGCCTCGGAAACCCTGTACAGGATCGCTATGGGTCGGGACCGACTCGAAGGCACTTAACAACAACAACAATTAGCCACCTTAGGACAGGAAGAAGTGATGGGTCTGGAATACGAGCAGGAAAGAGCTGCTTGGACTTGACTCTGATAAAGGGCAATGAACTTTAGGGCTATTGTATAAGGGGCCAGGTCCATGTAGGGCTGGATAGATCTATCCAGCCGAGTGTTCTGGAGCATGGCTTCAGGGCTGACCCCTGTGGATCTAGCTTCATTACTCACCCTCCTTGCTCTCTATATGTTGAAAACCAGCCCATGTTGCATGTGTTGTTGTGAGTTTCTGTAATACTTGGCAATATGTGTTTGGGAGGAAATGAAAAGTTTGCCTTCTGATCTCATTTCCTTGTTGATTAATGAATACTAGCAGTTCTGGAACTGTTGAGTCAGTTAGTGGTTTTCCATATCTGCAAAATAAAGTAAAATGCAGGCCAAGAAAAAGTACATTGTTGTGAAAAATGTTCATAAAAGGAATATTCTAGTATTGTTTTATCTTGTATATGCTTTTAAAGGATGTTTGAAAAAAAATTAGAATTACTAATTGTAGTAGCTATTTTCTTACTGGTTTTACATCAAATACTTAAGGATTTAGGACCATTTTGTATTTCTAAGTTCACCTTGTGTTTCAAATATTTTAGAGTGTCAAATAGATCAAATTAATATTTCTTACAATCTAAGAAAAATGTAATTACTATGGTGTTAAATGTACAGGGAACTTGATTTGTTGGTTGTTTCTTTGATTTCCTGTCCGTGCCCAACCCAGCAAGGTTACCCAACAAGGACACACTCAGCTCTGGGTCTAACTCTCGGTTTAGGCTCTTTGGTAAACAGTACAGAAGATTACCTTTTATGTTTAAGACATGGTTATCAAAAGAGCATTTGCTAATATTTCCCCAGCACAGAATGTGCTCTACTGTCCACCCCTAAAGGAAGTTTATCTGCACAGCTGGGTTCTAACTGGCGGAGTTGGCTGTGTCTCCTTCCACCTCACTGACCAACCCAGCCACAGTGATCTCAAGTTCCCAGTTTCTTGGAGCTCTGATCTTCTCCTTTTGTTGCTGGCCATCCTTTCAATATGTGCCTCACCTTCCCAATGATATACGATGCATTTTTCTAAACCTCAAAGGGCTAACTAAGGAATCACTGATAAACACCTGCCCAGTTACTACTTTTCTAGAAGCTGAAATCTCCTCCCTCAGTCCCATCCAGAAGGTTTATAAAATTGTTTTGAACTTTCTCCCTCTGCTTTCAAACTTCTAGACCAATCAGAGTCTTTGGCTTGAATGAGACAAAGAAACAACGTAAGTAATGGAGACCAGAGTGGATATGAATCTTTAGGGAAATATTTTTAATTCATTTTTTCAAGATGACAAGAAGTTAGTGTCTTTCCTTGCTGACTCTTGGGCACAACCCTAGCTGAGCATGAGTTGCCAATGAGCAGGGATTTAACCAGAAGTGCTTTTTCCCATCACCAGCCTCTGAGATGATTCTCGCATTCTATCCACATGCAGGGTGTTTTGGCAGAAGCGATGATAAAGGCCTCCTTGTTAATACTCTTCAGAAAACGGATAATTAGGGTGGTCAGTAAGACTAGAATGAGAAAGAATAATGCATCATGTAGATGGAAAGACTCAACAACAGGGGGCTCTCTGAAACTGGCATTAAAATGGAAGTCAAGCAGTCATTTAAATGCTTGCTAAGTCTACCTTTCTTACTTTCATAAGCATATAAATATATATGCTTTTATAATACATATAAAAATAGTAATTAAACACTTAAAAATATATCCCCATGCCTGGAACTTAACACACAGTGACACACAGAAACAAACGTACAAATATATATTTCCTTCCTTAATGAAATCTGTCAACAAATCAAAAAGGTATTTTGTACATTTTCATTTGAATAGCCAATGAGACCAGAAACGGATTCAACCTACTTTTGATCAGGGATAAGTCCACCTTCATGTTGTGATCAAAGATAAGGCCAACTTCAGGCACGAATTACTATTTTAAGGTGATGCAGGCTGTTGACAGCGATTTCACTAATTCACTCATTTCCTAGTAACTATTTACCACATGGAATCTATTGTTTTATTTAGAAATGAATCCAATGACATATACAAGATATGATCCCATCTCCAAGGAGTTTACTCTGTAGTAAGGCCCCTATACTTAACACAATTATAAATAAAATAAATCATATAGGAATTATTGATTGCTTCCTACTCTCTCCTTCTCTTTGCATCATTTCCCCTTCTCTTGTGGAATTTTAATTCATAATAGAAATAATATGATAATGTACAAATATGGATTCACATAATGGACTAAAAATGAATGGAATATCATTAGGACTCAAAAATGGGTAGGCATATTATTGCATGATCACATTTTATTTCTATTATGAAATTAAGATCCCACAAATTAATTAAGATCCTGGCTTTTCCTTATTACTATGAGTGCCCTTTCTCAGAATCCTAGAACCTTCAAGCATGAAGGAATAGTAAAGATGTGTGTGTGTGTGTATATATTTAAGGAGTTAGCATTAGAATTAGGACTATGGCCAGGATTTTGTGTAGTACTAGGGTTATGATTAAGACTAGGGTTAGGGCTAGCAATTGAAGTTGGACTAGGGCTGAGAGTACGGCTTGGTCCAGTTTTAGGATTACAGTTAGGTTCATTTTATCTATCTGTCTGTCTGTCTGTCTATCTATCTTGATTTCCTCTTCATTTGAAAGTTCTATAACTACACTATCCTCACTTTTTACTTTGTGTGTGTTTTATTATTATTATTATTGTTGTTGTTCTTGAAAAATGTTATCTATTTTCAATCTTGTAGATTTCCACTTGGAAACCCTAAACAGGGTTGCTATGGGTCAGAACTGACTTGACAGAACTTAACAACAACATATCTTGGTTGAGTTCTGGGTGATTAGTGGTTACAAGTCAGGCTGCTTACCGCAAGTTCAGCAATTCAAAACTACCAGCCGTTTCTGGGGAGAAAAATGAGGCTTTCTGCTCCTGTCAAGATTTATAGCCTCAGAAACTCTATACAGGGTTACTATGAATCAGGACTGACTCTACACATACCACCACCACCATGTTACTCTAAAATTGTTATCTGCTGTTGTTGGTTCTGTGGCCAAGGAACTCCCTTTAGTATTTTTTATAAGATTGGTCTATATTTTACAAATTATTTTAATTTCGGTTATCTGAAAATATTCTAGCATATTTGAGGGACAATTTTGCTAGGTATATGATTCGTGGTTGACAATTTTTTTTTCTTTCAGTTTTATATATGTCATCCCATTGTTTTCTTGTCTGCATGGTTTCTACTGAGAAATCATAGCTTAGTCTTTTTGGTTCTCCTTTGTAGGTAACTTTTTAATTTTTCCCAAACTGCTCTCAGGATTCTTTCTTTGTTTTTGTTTTTAGAAAACTTGATTATGATATCCCTTGGTGATTTTCTTTTGCTGTCTATTCTATTTGAAGTTCATTGTACTTCTTGAACGCATATCTTCTCATCTTTCATGATGTTAGGGTCGTTTTCTTACTACAACTCATAGACAATTATCTCTTTTTTCCTGTTCTGGAATTCTGATCACATGTAATTTATTTTTCTTGATGGTGTCCCACATAATTCTTATACTTTCTTTGGATTTTTTTTTTTTTTTTTTATGATAGTTCCACTGGTAGTGGTGGTGTACCATGGAGTTGATTCCAACTTATAATGACCCTGCATAGGTTTCCAAGGCTGTAAATCTTTACAGGAGCAGAACGCCTCGTCTTTCTTCTGCAGAACAGCTGGTAGCTGAGGGTAGCAGCCTGATTTGTAACCACTATGCTACCAGATGAATATTTAGAGATTTGTCTTCAAGCTCATCAATTTGGCCTTCTACTGATTCAATTCTACTCTTTTGCCCCTTCATTGTATAATCTACTTCTGAAATCTTAGTATTAATCTTCTAGATTTCTATTTGCTATTTTGGTATGGTTTCTAATTTTTCATTTGTTTTGTCAGTTTGTTTTTGTAGTGTTTGCTTAACTTCTTTTAAATTTTTATGTGTGTTTTCCTTGATTTTATCTGCAGCTTTCTAGATCATTCTCTCAATCAGTTTAAGGTACCTAAACATTCTTTTCAGTTGCTTATGAGATAGTTCTGATACCCTTTCTGGTATTATATTTTCTGGTTCCGTAGTGTTGTCATTTGCTTGAGTCACTATGGTTTATTTTTTTGTGTAAGCTGAAATGGTCTATTGTCTCCAAGACATTGTGGTGTTGTTGTATCTATATTTAATTGATGATTGTATGCTGAGGGTGTTGTTAAGCACTCATCACTTATCTCCTGGTGGGTGTGTTAGAGACTAGAAGTGTATACACAGTTCTATGTTTGCCATTTGTGTAATATAGTTCAGAGTAGGTTTGCCTGATGTTGGATGCTAATTATTATTCGTCAGGTGGTACAGGAAGACTGGGTAGTGAAATTCACACTCTTCCAGCACCCAACCCTAGGCAGAGCAGAAGCAGTGTAGGAGGGGGTGTCACAAGGTATGAGGACTATAAGAATGGGGGTTGGTCACGCCCTCAGTCACCAGGAGGGCATGGGGAACAAAGGGAGAATTGTATCACTGGCTCCCAACCTCCCAAGCTCCTCTTGTGTCTCCAGCCACTGTGTCAACTGACAGATGCCTATAAAAGCTCATGATAGCCACAGTAGGATCGCCAACAGCCCATCCTTCTGACTCTTCTCTCATGCTCCTGCTCAGCTTCTTCTCTCCATCAGCAGTTTTTGAATTTGAATTCACCTCTCTATCCTTCCCTCGGAAAGTTCAGAGTTCCGGAATCACCATCCATATCTGTATCACTTGATTTGCTGTGTCCTTGTTGCAGAAGGTCTGCTTAGCACATCTGCCTGCTTCACTATCTTGCCCCAAAGCCAATAGTAAAGATCTTCTGTTGGCTAAAAATTGTCTCCAACATTGAGGCTTTGCCTCCACACTCTCTGGTTTTAATCTCTCTTCTCTTAGATTTCTTCATACTTTGCATTGAGATCTCCATAGTATAAAAACCACAGGTTCTTACACACACCACAAAGGTCGTTCTTTTAGGACTCAAGTACAGTGTTTTGGTCCTGAACAAACATGGGATAAAAAGGAAGTCAGATATTTGAAAATTATAAGGCTTAAAATTCACAGTGTTAAGGATTTCATTCTTCTTGGATCAACTATCAAAACTCGTGGAAGCAGCAGTCAAGAAATCAAATGATGTATTGCATTTGGGCAAATCTGCTGCACAGGACCTTTTTAAAGTGTTGAAAAGCAAGGATGTCACCTTGAGGACTAGGTTGTGCTTGATCAAGCCATGATATTTTCAATAACTTCATATGCATGTGAAAGCTGGACAGTGCCATGGGCTACCAAAAGAACCAACAGCTCTGTGTTGGAAGAAGTGCAGCCAGAGTGCTCCTTAGAGACCAGGATGGCCAAAGTTAGTCTCTCGTACTTCAGACATATTGTCAGGAAGGACCAGCCACTGGAGAAGGATATCATGTTTGGTAAGGAGGGTCAGAGAAAAAGAGGAAGACCCCCAACGAGATGGATTGGCCAAGTGGCAGCATTGATGGACCCACGCGCGGCAACAGTAGTGAGGTTGGCCCAGGATCGGGCAGTGTTTCATTCTGCTGTGCATAAGGTCACTATGAGTCAGTATGGACTTGATGGCACCTAACAACAACAGTGGAGGTGATGGTAATCTCTGGCTTAGATCAGACGGTTGATGGAGATGCCTTTGGTTGAGCAGGTTTGAGGAATTAAGTTTGAGGGAAGATGATGACAAAAAAAATTTTGGAAACATTTCCTTAAGTGACATCACTAATATTCAATCTCTATGTCTGTGAGAATGGAGCTCTGGTAGCATAGTGGTTCCAAATCGGGCTGTGAACTGCAAGGTCAGCAGTTCAAAACTACCAGCTGTTACACAGGAGAAAGATGAGGATTTCTGCTCCCAAAAAGATTAACAGTCTCAGGAACGCTGTACAGGGTCACTATGAGTCAAAACCAACTCCATGGCACATAACCACCACCACATGTCTGTGAGATTGTTGTAGAGATGAGAGACCTACATAGCAAATTCAAATTCAAGCAAGCAATTGGTTTGCCCTGGAAAATTATATGGAGTGAGGAGAGCAGAGTATATGTGACTAGCCAGTGGACCGTGGAACCCTTTTACCTTTTTACTGACTTGGTGAAGAGAGATTTGGGGTGAACCCAGCCTGAGAGTTTTGGCTAAACTTTAGTCTCACCTCTTTCTAAAACTGGACATGGTCCTTCTGGTATTGAGGTGAATTTTAGCAATTCTTATACTTTCTTTACATAAAAAGAAATTGAGCAAATATCTTTACCAAAAATACTTACAATGAAATCGTGATATAACGAACATTTTGGTTTAGGCCATCTATGGTTTTCATGTCCTCTAAAGGCAAGTGGAATTCAAAAACCTATCAAGAGAGAAAAACAATTTAAAATGATTTTTAGATTGTATAACTTCAAATCTCAGAAAATCAAAGTAGAATCATTAGCATAAACAGAAATATGACTGGGTATGAATATCTATGAAAAAAATGGATGAATTCTCCACATACTAACAAACACCAGTTTGGAACTAAAATAGAAGAAAAGACACCATTTATATCAGCAACAATTAGACTTTTAGGGGATTCCTGGACACTGCTTTGAAGTGACATTAATTCCAGGAGAACCAAAACATCACTGTGGTCCACCAGACAGAGTAGGGGCATTTGGAGGTCAGGTTATTAACGAAGTCTTAGCTCAGATCCATCTCATAGTGGATCTAGTGGGCCCTTAAACCTAGCCTGTAGAAAAGCAGGTGGGTTTAAACTACCCACCTTGCTGTTAGCAGCCCAACGTCTAACCTTCTTGCAGTAAAGTAAGACTAAGTAGGAACTCTATGCACCTGTTCTGACTTAGCTACAGAGTCTTAAAGACACACTCTGGAAGAGCGCTCATGTTTAACACTGGACTGCATGTATATGCTTCATGGGTTTTATAGCTTAAGATACAATAGATGGTGCACAACCTGGAAACAACAGGGTTCTGGGATACAGAGATCGAGCCATGGTTGGAATGTGGAAAAGGGGGGAATAATATTAAGATGCTTGGCTGTCTTTTGAATCTTGGTTTTCCTTGAATTATATTATAAAATAGAGGGGGAGAGAAAGGAATAGCCAAAAGCATCACCATAGTAAGCTTGTAAGTCCGTCTTCTGCCTATAACTGATTGGAATACCTAAAATGGGGCTACAACGTGCCCAGTGAAGGAGGCTTCCTGCGGAGCCTCTGCAATACATAAGACTATAGGTGGAAGCCTGAACCATATCCAGATCTCCAGAGATGGGAAATTCCCACTTGAAAGGACAAGCAGACCAACCTGGAGTGGCTAGAAGAACAGAAGATACTTCTTGAAAGAAAGACCTACAGGAAAAATATAAAACAGCATAGGCAGACCGACTGTTACTACAAGAACAAGCAAGTTGCTTGCCCAGGAGACATCAAGGCAAGTGGTCGGGTCCCCTCAGTGCAAACCCCCTTCCAAGACTAAGACTCAATGGGAATACACGCTGTGATTGGTGACCACGCTCAACACCGATCAGGGGAAGTGAGGGAAAAACAGCAATGAAGTGGTGAGCTAAGCCCTACAATGTTCAACAGACTTCTGTGAACCCGGGTGAAGACCTGGTTGGCCAGCAGTGTGGCAAGACCGGGGGACTCTTGGGCCCAGAGTCAGTGACATAGCCACAGAGGACTAGAGTGGAGAGGGAAGCGTCTAGCTGATAAGAAGAGAGGGCATATGCATAAGAACACCCACACTTGCAGATAATCCCACTTATCCTGGCTTCAGTGACTGGATGATCAGAGATCAACCAGAAGTAAAAAGAAGAGGAAAAAAAAAAAAAAGATGTTCTCATACAATTTGATGAACTTGACCTACACCTATGGATGCAGTAGCTCAAAAGAGGGAACAAGTCCTTACAGCAAAAATCATTCCCACCCCCTCCACACACAGAGTAGACAGGGATGGGCAACTTGGACATTGGCTACCCAAAATGGGGGGCGGGGGCTACAAAGGCAAGAAGTGACTGGCTTATAAGCTTTCAAGAGGGAACCTAGATCCAGAGGGCCTGGAGGAAGGTAGAATCTCCAGTGAGTAGGCAGGGCTACTCAATCTGACTAGGCAGGGCTGATGCAATGAAATGCAGATGGATCTCTTGTAATACAGTAGTGAATAATTGTTATCAAGACTGATTGTGAGGGTTGGAAATGTAAAGGTGGACATTTTATAGCAAGGAGGGGAGTGATTAACTTTTCAGTCTAGTAGTGGAGGTCCCTAGGACCATCAAGGGAGAAGAGCAGATAGCAGGACCCTATCCAGAGAAGCAGTGATGCCTGAAATGGAGGCAGAGATGATGACGTGGAGCAATGGAGCAACTTGGAGACTTTAGATCCAGAGAGGGAGAGCGAGTGTGTGCTGAAGACCTGGGGGGTATGGGGGAAGGATTGCATGGAGGGGATTGTAACCATGGCAATGAGACTATATACAATAGAATGAATGTAAAACTAATGTTCTCCCATGTAAACTATCACATAATTCATAATAAAACATTTAAGAGAAAAAAAAAAGATACAATAGATGGATTCTGAAAAATGTGGAAAAGAACTCAAGTTCTTAAAAAAGTCCAGACTTACTGGACCAACTGAAACTAGGGGACTCTTTGAGATTATTGCTCTGAGATACTTTTAAAATGTCAAACCGAAATTAACCCTTGATGTGACCTTTTCTCTAAATAACCGATTGGCTTATAAAACAAAGAAAACCACCTGTGAATAATGAGCTCCTTAAAAAAAAAATCATCTATTGGAACCAAATTGTCAAAAATTACTCTAAAGCAATGAGAAGGTAAAGGGGCAGGGAAACAAGAACACTGGAAATGGTACAACCTGAATGAAATGAAGGAGAATGATGACATTGTGTAAAAGAAAACTAGTATCAGTGAATAATCTGTGTAGAAATTGTTAAATGGGAACCCAATTTGCTGTGTAAACTATCATTTTATAAAAATATTATTTAAAAATAGTATATTAGACAAAAATGAGAAGATAAGTCAAATGGAATATAGAGTTGAAGAATTTATCCAAAATGTCATTTTAAAAATCCTCCCAAAACAGGTGGGAAAATAAGAGGTTGAGAAAATAGAGAGTAGAATATAAAATTCTACCACATGTCTAACCAGAGTTCCAGATAGTCGATAGAGATTGAAAATATTCAGGAAGTGAATGAATACAAGGCAAATCAAAAGCAACAGCATGAACCATTCCTAGATACAATACAGAGACACTGTATAGGGTTTCTGAGGAACGGCTGGTGAGCTTGAACCGCTGACCTTTTGGTTCAAATGACTTTGCAGTCCAGTGCATTAGCCTACAGTGTCATGCCAGGACTTCATATTGTATTTAACCGAAAGGTGTGCAGTTCAAGCTTACTAGCTGCTCGTCAGAAACCCTATACAGGGTTGCTATGGGTTGGAAAGACTTGAAGGAACTTAACAACAACAGATACAATATTTTGAGGCTGTGGAACAATATAATCATAAAGGAGATCTTTAAAGAAATGGGAGTAAAAAGAAAGGTGCTGCTATTCAAAGATGATTGGGTTATGTTTGTAGAAGATATACAGGAACCTACACGCATATTTCCTGGTATGGCACTGTGGGTTAATGTGCTAGACTGCAAAGCCATTTAAACTGCAAGGTTGGTAGCTCATGCTCACCAGCTGCTCCTCAGAAACCCTAAACAGGGTTGCTATGAGTTGGAACTGATTCGATGGCACTTAACCACAACAATAACAACAGGCATATTTCAAAAATATATTTTTGGTAATTTTCATTGATATATTGTATTCTGTTTATTCTTTTGGCAGTCCATGGTACATTCAATATTCTCCTCCAACACCATAACTCAAATGCATCAGTTCTTCCTTATTCACTGTCCAACTTGCACATGCATATGAAGCTATTGAAAATATCATGGCTTGGGTCAGGTGTACCTTAGTCCTCAAACTGACATCTTTGCTCTTGAACACTTTAAAGGGGTCTTGTTTATCAGATTTGCCTAATGCAAAATGTCGTTTGATCTCTTGACTGCTGCTTCCATGATTGTTGAAGTCTTTAGTAACTTTAATCTTTTCTGCATTTATATGGCTGTTGTTAATTGGGCCAGTGGTGAGGGTTTTTGTTTTCTTTACATTGAGATGCAATCCATACCGAAGGCTGTGGTCTTTGATCTTCATCAGCAAGTATTTTAAGTCTTAAAGTATATTAGTATTTAAATATACTTAAGTCTTTAAGTATATTAAATATTTTAAGGAGTCCTGATGTGGTTCTGTGGGTTAATGCATTTGATTGCATAGTCCATTTGAACGACAAGGTCAGTGGTTCAAGCTCACCAGCCACTCCTCAGAAGCCCTATCCAGGGTCGCTATGGGTCAGAACCGACTTGACGGCACTTAACAACAACAACAAGTATATAAAGTCTTGCATAGGCACTTTAGAAAGAGGAACTGTGGATTAATAAATATATGCAAAATCTACCTACCTTAATATTCAGGGCAATGCAAAGTAAAGTCAGAATGAAGGGTTATCACACATTCTCCAGATGGGCAAGGAAGTGAAAGGCCAATAATGTTAATATTGGCTAGAGTGTTGAACAAAGAGGAATCTCCTGTGTGGCTCATAGGACTATAACTAGGTACAGTTTGGACAAAGTTGGTATTGTTTAGTAGATGTGAATCTGCTCATATTCTATTACTGGTCAGTTTCATTCTGGCATACAGGAATATATCCTGTGGCTACTCTGGTATGTGTGTACCAGCAAACACATATAAAAATGTTTCTAGCAGCATTATTCAAATGGCAAAACCAAATAAGTAGACAAACTATCAAACAACAAATGCCTCAATTGCGTTTAGATAATTAAATTATTACATATTCATGAAACATAAGGCAATGCAGAAGTAAAAACGACAAGTAACAGCTGCATGCATCACGTGAATGAATCTTACAAAGCTAGCTTTAGCCAAATGAAGCAAGTTACCAAACATGCAGTCTGATTCAACTTGTGTCAAGTTTTAAAACAGGCAGTTTTAAAAAGGACATACCCTTAAATAGGAAAACTATAAAAGCCATCTAAGTAACTGGTTATTAGAAGTATTAGGAGAATTGATACCTTTAGTAGAGGGAGATATGATCAGTGAGCTTCAGATAGGCAGAATGGGCTATTTTATTACCTGACTGATCTCAGGTATTCATTGCATTGTTATAGTTTTAACTATGAATATGGTTTTATATGTATACTCTTGTGTTTGTGATACATTTTAGAAAATTTGCAAGCTGACTGAACACAAGTCTTACATTGACAACACATGCTTGACTTTGAAAACATGTGTCTTCCCAGGTAAAACTGAAAGCTTGTGTCTTTTAAATCAACATTTAAAAGTAATGTTATACCAGTTCATGTAGTTTGTAACGATACATAAAGAGCACATATACAATTATGCTTATGGGATACCTAGGAAAAGAAAAAGTCCAACAGAGAATGACATGCTGAGGAAGACTGAGTAAATTGAGGAGTGACAAGCAGATTGGGAGAGATTTACTCTTCCTTCTATATCTTTAATGGGATATATATATATATATACATATTTATTTATAAAGCAGATAATAACAATTTAAGTTTCTCCAAAAAATGGGTCTCTTTCTGTAGATATTCAAGAAGGAAGAGATGGTCAGTCAGGATCTTAGTCTTCACAGTGCAGACCATTGTGTCTGGTTAGGTAAGCAGCTACAGGGACAGTGTAATTCACAGCCTTCAACTAGTTCCTAGCAAAAGAAACCTAAAGTTGGAAACTAAAAATTCACCTAATCTAAGCATCTTTTTTATGAAATGAAGAAAATGATATGCTTCTTGTACAGAGTTATAAAGTAAATTGCAATGAAGTCTAGAATTCAAAGCTTTGATATCTGCCCAATCCTTTTTTCCATGCAGCCATGATGCCTCTCTGTTGTTGAACAAGAAGCAAACCCTAGTGAATGTATATAAGGCATATGTGCATGGGAAATGCCAGGGACACCACCATGTCTCCCACATGTCCTATGCCTGACAAAGAACACCTCTGAAGGTTCCAGTTTAGCCACCCAAATGCCCACAGTCCTGTCCCTCACCTGCATGTTCTCTTTGATCCTTTTCTCAGTGAAGCTCTTGGCTAGGACCACGACCCCACGCTGTAGCTGGTAACGAAGGGCAATCAGGGCTGGGGTTCGCTTGTGCTTTTTTGCCAGGGCACAAAGAACTGGATCATCCAAAAGAACAGGGGAGCTCTGGTCCACCCTGGAAGGAAATGCAGAAATGTTGAACACAAGAGGCTAAGTTTTCAATGTTTCAGGATGTTTCTGAGGCAGACTGAAGTGATCTCTCTAGACCAGCAGTTCTCTAATATGCCCCTGGACCATTGTCATCTGCATCACTTGGGAACTTGTTAGAAATGCAAACTCTAATGGTTCTCCCAGATGTATTGAATCAGAGATGATGCGGGTCCAGCATTCTCTTAAGGTGCCGCCATCCAGCTCATTTTGATTTTCTCTTAAGCTTGAAAGAATACCTGGTGGCACAGTGGTTAAAGCCCTGGGCTGCTAAACTGAAGGTCTCACATGATACAGTTTTATATAATCACTAACCCAGCCCTGAGAGATAATTAACTGGTTTGCTTCTTTAGATTTAAATGTAAACTAACATCCTGAGTCCTTAGCCCAAATTCCAGACAAATTATCTGCATCTCCTCAAAAGGCAATGTACCTTGCTTCCCCCTCCCTCTGGATAAACCTGTAACTTTCATCTTCTTAGCCACACTGTTATTTCAGAGACTAGATTTCACAGGACATTTTAATGGACTTTGGAGAAACTGACCGTAACTGCCTAGACTTTGGGACTCTCTTGGTTCTTCTCTGACTGTATTAACCCTGATGCTGCCATAGGTCTTTGGAGCATGCCTTCTAGGCTGTGTGTCCCTGTGTCTGTGAATTGTTGATGGGATAAGAAATCTCTAATGTTGTTTTCTAGCTTTGTTTCTATTCTCAGAAATTCTTTCACATTGATTATCTATAACCAGACACATAATGTCAAAACATTTGACTGGGTAATGAAATTATAAAGAATCCCACAATTTCTCACCATCATTTACTCAAGATGTTCAGAGTTAACACCAGGAAACAGGTTAAGATATAATTAAATATGTTTCTTTAATAATGGCATTTTAGATTAACTTTCCGTGATTTATTACCATTTTTTTTCTCGGTGAGATCCCAGAGCACTGTAGGCAACCAGAACAATGTCCTTAGACTTGCAGAAATCCAGGAGCTTGCTCTGGTTGAGATAAGGATGACATTCCACCTGTAGAATGCCAAGACAGAAATGGGTTGGATTACATAAAATCATGATATTAAGATGTAAAAGAAAGCACAAACGTCAAAGAAGTTGAATAACAATTCTGTAAAGTTGTATTTGAAGTAGAAACAGCAACATGAACTAGGGACTGAAAAATAATTTTTCTCTGTCCACTGAAAGAGCCAAAAACAATGATCCAGAGAAGTATCTATTGCCCTGTACTTAGCTACTGAATACCATTGTCTACCATAAGGAAGGAATCCTGGTGTGGCGCTGTAGGGTAAACTCAAGGTCGGCAGTTCAAACCCACCAGCTTCTCCTCAGAAACCCTTTACAGGGTCCATATGAGTCGGAACCAACTCTTGGCACTTACCAACAAGGAGATAAGGGTAATTCTGGATCTGGGACAGAGAAAGAACTTTTAAGCTTTGAACATGAAATTGTGCCAGGAAGCACGAAAGTACTCAAAGACTTATGAGTGCATGTTTAAAGGACAAGAAACAGTTGAATGGTAAGAATGAAAAGAAATTCACATAACCAATTACTGTCGAGTCGGTTCTGACTCATGGTAATGTTCTAGGACAGAGCTGAACCGCTGTAAACGTCTGTGGAAGTTGACTGTCAGATTCTCTCCCATGAACTGTCAACCTATTGGCTAGTCACTGAGTGCTTAAATAAATGTGCCACTAGGGCTCATTCAGAAGGGATAACGACTAAAAACAATTTCTAAAACACTGAATAAATAAAACCCCCTAAATCCATATGAATGAGAAACAGAGGGAGAGAGACAACAAATAATTTGTTCTGAGGCAGAACATTTAAAAATTAAGGCCTTGATTGGAATAAAAATTCCTAACTAAGGTCTGATTTGGATTATTTTTTCCGTAAGGGATTCCATTTTGTTAAAAGCACTGCTTGTCTTTTTTTGTGTGTGGTAAAAATTTGACTTTAAATAAAATGGGGACTTAACAGGAAAACATGATTTTGCTCCGTTTTTTTCAATTCAATTTAGTGGTGTTTATTGTTAAGTGCTGTCATGCCCGACTCATCGCCACCCTGTATAGGGTTTCCAATGAGCAGCTGGTAGGTTTGAACTGCTGACCTGTGGTTAGCAGTCCAGTGCTTGTCCTACAGTGACACACCAGGACTCCATATATATACTATACTTAGAAAATATTTATAATTTCAAAGTTTCTCTAAGAAATTTATAATTAGCTGTATCTTGTCACCTGATTTCCTCTCTTACAAAAGGTGATTAACCAAGATCCTATTCCCTGCAACTTTGTAAAGACTATCCAGTTAGAAAATACCCCAAATGTACCTTCTGTTGTAGTTTTTAACTTTTTGAACTTTTGTAATGCTAAGTCTTATGGAGTACACAGCCAGGGCTACTTGATTCTCTGTTCCCCGCTTCGCAAAACACCTTTCTGCCATTAATAAAACTCTTTATTTTTACGTGTGTTTTGACTTGTAGTGTTTTCACTCTGATTATTTTATTTTGAAGCCTCCATCGTCAGCTCCCAGAAGCCAGGGAAAGTTTCTTTGGATCCTGCTGAGTTATTTGGACTCTCCTTTTCCCATGGACCTTTGGGAGCCACTTGGATGAGTACTTCTCAGAGAGTACCTCTATTTGTGTCTGGTGCCATCGAATTTTATTGTTGGCTTACTCTCACTGTTGTTTGACTTGCTTTCATTTTCATTATGCTTACGATTTCCCCATTTTTAGTTTCGATTGGAGATAGTTCTACTTCTTTGAGCTCACGTTAGTCAAGGAAGATGAATCTGCTTTCAAATAGCTCATGGTCATGATAAGCCACAAAGCTTTTGGACACAGGCTGATATTTAAATGCTGTAAGGGCACTCTTCAACAGAATCAACTGCTAAACATCCCATATGAGGATAATCTGGTCAAGAGACAGTTTAGAGCTGCCCAAGCAAGCAAAAGGTCCTGTATCTCTGGACACTGTACTGAAAAAGCAAGACATCATCTAAATCCCATAGTCTTACCCCAGTAAAGATTGCTGAAAACCAAGAGCAGCACTCCATTTGGTTATTTGTGAGCTTTTAGTGCCCTCTACTGGGACATCGATGCCTTTGTTCAACCATTTCAAGAGGTACCATATGAACAAGAGCCAATGATACTCAGGGAGGAAGTCCAAAGTGCATTGAAACAATTGGCAAAGAACAAGGCACCAGGAATTGATGGAATAAAAATGGAAATCTTTCAAGAAAATGAGGCAGCACAAGAGGCACTCACTCATCTCTGCCAAGAAATTTGGAAGACAACTATCTGGCCGACTGATTGGAAGAGATCCATATTTGTGCCCATTCCAAAGAGAGGTGACCCAACGGAATCGGAAATCATCGGACAATCTCTTTGATATCTCAAGCGAGTAAAGTTTGCTAAAGGTAATACAGAAACAGCTACAATCATACATTGACAGAGAACTTCCAGAGGTTCAAGCTGGATTCTGAAGAGGCCGTGGGACGAGAGATATCATTGCTGATGTCCGATGGATCTTGGCTAAAAGCGGAGAATATTAGAAAGATGTTTACCTATGCTTTATTGACTATGCAAAGGCTTTCAATTGTGTGGATCATAACAAGCTATGGACAACATTGAGAAGTATGAGTATTCCAGAACACTTAATTGTACTTCTGAGGAATCTGTATCTGGACCAAGAAACAGTTGTTCGAACAGAGCATGGAAACACTGAATGTTTTAAAATTGGGAAAGGTGTGCGACAAGGTCGTGTTCTTTCACTATACTTATTCAACCTGTATGCTGAGCAAACAATCTGAGAAGCTGGGTTCTATGAAGAAAAACATGGAGTCAGGATTGGAGAAAGACTCATAAGCAACCTGTGATATGCAGAAGATACAACCTTGCTTGCTGAAAGTGAAGAGGACTTGAAACATTTACTGATGAAGATCAAAGGACACAGCCTTTGGTATGGGTTGCATTTCAATGTCAGAAAAATAAAAATCCTCACCACTGGACCAACAAACAACATTCTTATCAACGGAGAAAAGGTTGAAGTTGTCAAGGACTTCATTCTTCTTGGATCAACTATCAACACTCGTGGAAGCAGCAGTCAAGAGATCAGACGACATATTGCATTGGGCAAATCTGCTGCACAGGAACTTTTTAAACTGTTGAAGAGCAAAAATGTCAGCTTGAGGACTAAGGTGCACCTGACCCAAGCCATGGTATTTTCAATAACCTCACATGGATGCGAAAGCTGGACAGTGAATAAGGAAGACCATAGAAGAATTGATGCTTTTGAATAGTGGTGTTGGAGGAGAATACTAAAAGTGCCATGGACTGCCAAAAGAGCCAATAGATCTATTTTGGAAGAAGTGCAGCCAGAGTGCTCCTTGGAGGCCAGGATAGCTAAGCTTCGTCTCTCGTACTTTGGACATATTGTCAGGAGAGAACAGTCGCTGGAAAAGGATGTCATGCTGGGTAAGATGGAAGGTCAGAGAAAAAGAGGAAGACCCCCAATGAGATGGATGAGCCAGGTGGCATCATGGATGGCGTCAAGTGTGGCAGTGGTGGTGGAGTTGGCCCAGGATCGGACATTGTTTCGTTCTGCTGTGCATGGGGTCGCTATGAGTCAGTTCCAACTAGATGGCACCTGACAACAACAACAACTGGGACATCAGTAGAGGAAACTTTCTTTAAGTTTTTTTACTTGTAAACTCAGGTTTAAATTTTAGACTACAGAAACTCAAGTTGTTTCGGATTTTAATCCCAAGACAATAATCAAAGGTAGTTCTCTGATCTGGTTGGTATGCATGTTCAGTCTAACAGGGAAATGGTATAAAAGCAAATAAGTCTTTCAGAAACTACTACATAATGTATGATGAACAAGCATTATGGGCCTGCCGGGTGTTTCTTTTTACACAGGTGCTAAACTTTAACTTAAGATAGCCTAGAAACTAATGAAATGATTTGCCAAACGTGAGCATTAAACTTAATTGTCATTGTTAAATGCTGTCGAGTCAGTTCTGACCCATAGCGATCCTGTATAGGGTTTCCAAGGAGCAGCTGGTGAGCTTGAACCACTGACCTTGTGGTATAAAGCAACTTTGCAATTCAGCATATTAACCCACAGCGCCACACCAGGACTCCAAATTTACCTGTAACGAGTTGTAATTCACTTAAACCTCTACTGGAAGAGAGACCTTTCCACAGTCCTTCATACTTTATGGGCTTCCACCTCCACTGAAAGGAGATCTGGTAGCATAGTGGTTAGCAATCGGGCTACAAACCTGTAAAGATTTACAGCCTCAGAAACCCTGCACAGGGTCACTATGGGTTGGAACCGACTCCATGGCACATAACAACAACAACAACAACATCCACTGAGATAAGATAATTTTGTCTTCTGAATCAATTAAAATTCAGGTTGGTCCTTGCAAACTCTTACCAAAAATCCAACAGTATCCTTTGAAACAAGAAGCTAAAGTGGGTCTTGTCCCATAATGCAGTAATTTGTATCCAAAGGTCTTATTATTCCCTAGTACCAGTTCTTGCAATACCTCATTCTTCCTTGTAAAGAAACTCAATAACTGAGGGTAGTGGTTTGTTCAGGATGCAAATCAAAACAAAAACAAAAACAAAAAGGACAAACCTATTGTGATGGCACTTAGCAACAACAACAACAATTGTGATATCACACCATCCCATCAAAAGAACGAACCTAAAATTCAAGCTCAACATTAACCAAGGACAATCAGCCATGGGAAAAATAACAGCTGAATTCAAGGATGAGAAGAAGCCAACTTCTGAGCAGACTCTGTACATTCCTAAGGCTTCGGAACCAGATCTACACACTTCTCTTATGGAAATCATTGATCTTTTTGAATTATATTTTCTTATTTTTCTTGTTGTATTTGCTACAAGAGTTCTATATTACATCATTTCTTCTATACGGGGATTTCAAAATAATTTTTGCTTGAGCATTTATGTCCTTTATTTTTATAACTATAATTTATAGTGGTGATTATATACTGTGGAGTTGGTTCCGACTCATAGCGACCCTGCACAGGGTTTTCGAGGCTGTTAATCTTTATGGGAGCAGAACGCCTCATCGTTCTCCCGCGGAGCAGTTGGTAGTTTCAAACTGCTGACCTTGTGGTTCGCAGCCCTGTTTGTAACCACTATGCTACCAACATTGAGATTAGCAGCCCGAATTTTAACCCCTACACTACCAGAGCTTGGTATGATAATTAGTAGTAATGATTCTCTTTGCTTTTCAAATCACTATGTTTGATCAATTAAGATTAGTAAGGATAAGCATGGATATTTTTACCATATGCTTTTTGCTGAAAATAGTTTTTGCTTTTATTGGCTTATTACATTACCATAATGTCATCCCTTATTTTTATCATGTTATTACATGCAACCAATTATTATTTTTGCAATTTACTAACTCATAAGTTTTGCTTTTTTTTTTTTTAATTTCTTATTTCACAATTTTGGTATTATCCCCTGCTTTAATGCTTCATTTCGTTCCCTGTGAACCTAAACCCTTTGCATTTAATAAAGCAGCTATTAAAATAATTACTTTTCAGTTAACTGTTTATTAAATTTGAAACAGCTTTGCTTTATCATTTAGATATAAAGTTTTTCGTGTTATAATAAATGCTATAATAGAGTTTCATTTTATTATAAGATTTTTTTACATTATTCCTTCTAATCTTAGTACTCAATTTAAAAAAATAAAATTTTTGTGTGAATTGAGTAAAGGATTGAGTTGCATTCCTGTACAACATGTGCTGAAATCCTAATGCCTAAACTTGTAAATATGACCTTATTTAGAATTTGTTGTTGTTGTTGTTGTACTAATGAGGACGTTATACTGTAGATGAATCCTAAAGCTAATCATTTTTGAACTGTGAAAAATCAAAATAGACAAGACACATAAAAGGGAAGAAGGAAGGCAGAAAACAGAGACAAGTGAACGTACAAGACCACGTATATTACAGCGGCCACTTGAAGCTGAAATAGATGAGGAGAACCACTCCTTAAAGACATTTGAATTTGAACCTCTAGCCTCAACTGTGAAAACAAATTTCGGTTTTTTATGAGTACCCATATGTGACATTTCTGTGACAACAGTACTAGGCAACCAAACCACGTATGTAGGCAGCAGTAGCAAATGTTCAACCAAAATGATATGATCATGCAAAGAATTTAATGGTAGAAATCAAGGCAAACAAGAGTAAGATTTAGTCAGTCTCTAGCACTACTCCATCATATTGTTAAATGATCCTTAGGGTTGATTTCCTCTACCTTTATAGTCACCATAAACCAGTAACTTCATCCCTTTAACCTGGAGGATTTTAATAGTTTCTGAATGTCATCATGCATGTTTACTTCACAGGTCAAGAACCTCTAAAAATAGAGATACCAAGAAAAACAATTCAGGCATCCAAACAACACACAGACCCTTAGCACCTATCAAATCTTATTAACGCCCTTCTAGACAAAGAGTCTGTTCTTTAGAATCTTCTAGTTCAAAAAGGTAAGATGAATAGGAAGAGAAGAGTTCATACATAATTACAGAAAAAATGATGTAAGGATCAAAAAGCAAAAGAAGTCTTACGGGCAGAGGAGGCTTACCTGATTGCAGACAGGCTTGTATTTGAGTCCTGGCTTGTTCAGGATCATCTCCAGCTGTTTGTGGTTAAAGTTGGACACTCCAATGGATTTGGTCAACCCTGCATCCTTACACTTCTCCAGTGCCTGGGAAGGAAGGGAATACGAGGACTAATTTGGATGATTTGGCCATAGAACACATGAAGGATAGAGCCCATTACAAGAAAATACTGTCAAAAAATGACCATGAAACTGACTGGCACTGATGGTTATGATGAACAAACACAATATAGAAAAAACTGGAAGAGATAATGACAAGAATTTAATTAGTCTTTCATACTTAGGAAAATAGGAGACAGTAAGGCATGGTGTTTCCAATCGTCTCTTCTCTTTCTCTAATGGCACATTCCAGTAAGGCTTTCCTGCACACCAATCTTTCAAAACACCCCAAGTTAGGGTCATGAATTTCTAAAGCAAAAGGGGCATGTCCCCTTTGACCTAGCAGCAGCCTTAAACACAAATTTATTTTCCCTTGAGATACTTTTTTTCACTTGGATTTTAAGAACTGATCTCTCTTCAGTCTCCTCTTACTTCGCAGGATTATTAGAGTTTCATCCATTTTTCTGACCTGTAATATTGGAGGATTCAAGGGCTCAGTCCTCAGACTTCATTATTTATCTTGTCTCACTCACAAGTGATGATTCATATCCAGGATTTTAAATACCATCTATATGACCAAGTCTCACAAACTGATAACTCTGTCCTAGTCCTACCCCAAGACTTACATATTCACAGACTTCTAGATTCAACTGCTTATTCATCATTTCTATAGATGTCTGATTAGGCATCTCGAACTGAACACATCAAAAACTGAGCTTCTGGTTTTCCTTCTGTGGTATAGTAAGTTATCTAATACCTCTTCTAGCTATTGTCTGTAATTCTCACCAAACAACATTTCTGCCCTGCTGGGTGTGGGCAAGAGAAGGTGGGAGAAACTATGGATAGAATGACATGACTTAGTTGTGGATGTTAGCAGAGTTCATTGTAATTACAGAAACTTGAAACTCTAGCATGGGTTTAAAATGAGCCATCTCAGAAGGAGGAGTTGGGGATCTCACTACAAACAAAGAAGACTGGAGTGCGTCCTTTGGATTCTGATGTTCCTGTACGTTGAACCTCTTCAACCCGGGACATAGAGTTGTGACACCGGAGTTGTTTCAGAGCAACAACAGTGGAAGAACCAAGAACCAGAGGAGTAGATAGAACAGTGGGCTTTCCAGCCCATGGAGCCAGTAAAGCTGGGTGACTTTAAGCAAGAAGTTGTTTATAGAAGGAGGTGTTTCCAGGAGTTAGGTGAAGAGCTAGTTTGTTGACCCATAGAGCTAGAGTTGAGTGCCTTCAGGGTGAGGCTTACGGTGTACTGATATGTCTAATGGGAATTTGTCTGTGGCCAACTGGAACAACTATGCCCTGAGCATTTCAGACCCCAAATTGTCACCTGTTCATTTCCCTAATAAAGCCTGTAACTGTGAGTATGGTGTCTGAGTTCTACATGGTCACTGCCATGGTTTATCAACCTCAGTTGAGTAGAAAGGGCTGTGGGAGGAATGGTTGTTGGTGAAAATTTGCACCTCCAAAACTGTTTCTCCTGCAGTCTTCATCTCAGTCACAGCCAGCATCACCAGTAATTTGTTCAGGACAAGGATCTCAGAGTGAAACTGGTGCTTTTTTGTTTCACATAACTCATCTAAATCCATCAAAGCATTATGTCATCTCTGCTCTCAGAATAGATCCAGAATTCATGTACTTCTTACAGCCTTCACACTTTTATCCCATCATTACTTATCTTTATTATTTCATGATCCTCATGTCTGGCCTTTCTGATTCTACTCTTAACCCCCCAATACATCATCCACACAGAATCCGGATATGCACTGTCCAGTAGAACTTCATGTGATGACAGAAATAGTGTATGTCTACACTGTCCTGTGGGCTAATGGGTCAGATTGCAAAGTCATTTGAACTGCAAGGTCAGTGGTTCAAGCTCATCAGCTGCTCCTTGGAAACCCTATACAGGGTCGCTATGGGTCGGAATCGACTTGACAGCACTTCACAATAGCAACAACACTGTTCAATAGGTAGCCACTAGCCACTTGCAGTGATTGAAATACGTGACTGGGTAACTGACATGTAAATTTTGTTGATTTCAAAATTAAATTTAAATATGCATATGTGGTGTGCATTGTCTTTATATCCTTTTAGAGAGTAAATAGGGAGTCCTGGTGTGGTGCTACAGGATAATGAGCTGGACTGCAAAGTCAGTTTGAACCGCAAGGTCAGTGGTTCAAGCTCACCAGCCACTCCTCGGAAACCCTATACAGGATTGCTCTGAGTCAGAACCAACTCAATGGCACTTAACAACAACAACAACATAGAGTAAATGGACTCCTGGTGTGTCACTGTAGGATCAGCACTGGACTGTGAACTGTAAGGTCTGCAGTTCAAACCCACCAGCTGCTCCCTGGGAACCCTATACAGGGTCACTATGAGTCAGAATTGACTTAATAGCATTTAACAACCAGAGAATCAATCAGATAAAAGTCCTCTAGTGGAATGCTGGTGGCACTGCAGGATAACCACAAGGTCAGCAGTTCTATTCCACTAGTGCCTCTGGGGGAGAAGAAAGTCTGCTTTCCTAAACATTTACAGACTCAGAAGCCCTATATACAGTTGCTATTAGTTGGCATCGACTTGATGGCATTGGGTTTGGTGTTTTGGTTAATGACTTTCAAGCTTGCACAAAGCAAAAGTTATTCTTAATAAAGTCTGCCAGCTCTGACACTCATTTGTCCTCTGAGCTCATCTTTTCCCAGCCTTCCCTTTTTCAGCTTTACAAGAAACCTTGGTATTCCTTGGACACAATAATTTTGTACCTCGTAGAGAGCGTTTGATTTGTTGTCCTTTCTGCCTAGAGGGGTTTCCCCTAGAAAATTCCAAGGTTCACACTTTATTATATATGTGCATGTCAGCAGTAGGCGGCGTTGTCTGAGGACAGTGGGCATGCCTAAATTTATCAATTTCTTGTATCTTTATAGACCAGATGGAAAATTTTTCTCCTTTCATCTTCCAAGTTTATCTTTACTGGCTTACTGTGCCAGTAGCCTGGTAATTCTGTCAGCTTTCTTTCAGAAGGAAGAGCACACTCTGGTATAACCTGGAAAATGTCATTTAAGGAATAAAAATTCTAAAACTTCAAGCTAAATTTAAGATCACTTTTCCAATTCCTGATTTTAAGGGTGATAAAAATGAGGCCAAGAGGCTTTCATAAGTTCATTTAAGTACAAAAAGTGAGCTGGGTTTCCCATTCCTGTCTCCCTTGTCTTGGCTGTCTCCCCCCAAGCACTCACCTCCCATGTGGCACAGAGATCCACGGTATCAAATAATGGTTTTCCATGTTCATCTTGTGGAATCAGCTCCTCTCCAGGCTCAAATAAAAAGAGTAATTATAGTCAAGTCACAGAATCATTGATTTTGCCTTAACCATGCTAGAGAGTATTTCTAGGGTTTGGACACTAAGCCTCCATGAGGTAGGTGGAACAACCTAGCAGGTGCTAATATTTGCAAAATGTTTTATGTGTGGAGCTGTTAGGCATATCTTTTATAATCCCTTACACCTCTATTCTACATTTGAATAAATTTCACATTTTTCCATTTTAAAGGGGTCTCACAGCTGCTCCTTGGAAACCCTATACAGGGTCGCTATGAGTTGGAACTGACTCAAAGAAGTATTACATTAGGCAAATCTGCTGCACAAGATATTTTAAAAATGTAGAAGAGCAAAGATGTCAGCTTGAGGACTAAGGTGCACCTGACCTAAGCCATGGTATTTTCAATAACCTCATAGTGCATGTGAAAGCTGGACAGTGAATTAGGAAGACCGTAGAAGAATTGAAGCTTTTGAGTTATGGTGTTGGAGGAGAATATTGAAAGTGCCATGGGCTGCCAAAAGAACCAATAGATCCACTTTGGAAGAAGTACAGCCAGAGTGCTCCTTGGAGACCAGGATGGCCAAACTTCGTCTCTCATACTTTGGACATATTGTCAGGAGGGACCATTCGCTGGAGAAGGCTATCATGTTTGGAAGGTGGAGGGTCAAAGAAAAAGAGGATGACCTCCAACGAGATGGATTGGCTAGGTGGCAGCATTGACGGACTCAAGTGTGGCAACAGTAGTGAGGTTGGCCCAGGATCAGGCAGTGTTTCGTTCTGCTGTACATAAGGTCGCTATGAGTCAGTACGGACTCGATGGCACCTAACAACAACAACAAGGAGATATAACTGTACAATTAGAGTTCCTTAGTCCTCTGAACACATGATGATACAAGGGTAAAGACATGAAACAAACAGAATCAGTCTAGAATTATGAAGTATTATTTAGGATCCTTCCCTGTTATACTAATCCAATACCCTCCTATGGGAGAAAGAAGAAGCTTTTTGCTCCCCCAAACATGTACAGCCTCAGAAACCCTATACAGGGTTGCTATGAGTCAAAACTAACTCAGCAGCACTTAACAACAACAACATGCTCTCTTAAGAAAAATAAAATTCAACCATTCATGCAAGATGAAGTGGAAGTAAAAGGTTTAATTATGCAAAGTGCTAACCTTCAAAGCTGCTGGAAAATGAATAATGTAGAGATCAACATAGTCCAGCTGAAGTTTTTTCAGTGAGATTTCCAATGCAGACCGAACTAACTCTGGTCGAAGGAAAGTGATCCAAATCTGCAGAGATTAAGAATGGAAGTTGTGTTTGATTCATACTTAGTCAATTTAATAAAGAGATATAGACTATAGACATATGGATTGTTACTTGTTCAGCAAATTCAAGGGTGAAAGTTGTTAGCAAATATTATTAATATTAAACCAAAGTTAGAATAAGTAGTGGACTGCTAACCACAAGGTTGGTGGTTTGTGGGAGACAAGTGAGGTCACCTGCTCCCATAAAGACTTACAGTCTCAGAAACCCTATATAGGATTACTATGAATTGGAATTGACTCAATATTCAGCGGGTTTAGTTTTGGTTGGGCCATTAATGTAGACTGAAATAATGAACCTGATTTGTAATCAGTAGGAATAGGAGTAATCTTTAGCTTTCATTCAGAATATTAGTCCTTTATTGGGATACTTTAGTAGATTTCATTTTGAAATTAAGTAGAGAAAATTGATCAATATGAAGGTAAGCCAAAAAGTATCACTACAAATTAATACATACCTTTATTTTAAAAATATCAAAATATGAAACTATTTTTTCTCAACATATCGCTCATCTAGGTCTATACACTTGTGAAGGCATCTCTAACCTTTCCCTGAAGAATTCTGGGTTCTTTGATTTATACCACAACAAAAAAGACAGTATTGGCATCCTTGAGGGACACAAATTACATTCCTTTTAAGTATCCTTGAGTTTGTGAAGCAAAAAAAGTCTGAAGGGGCAATATCAGGGCTGCACCGTGGATGGGGTAAGCTTTCCCAGTGAAATTCTTATAAGACAGCCCTTGGTACCCTCAAAGAATGAGCAAGTGCACTGACACGATGGGGGGGAAAATCATTGGAGCAACTTTCATATCCTTTTTCTTACTAACACAATATCTAATTTCCTTAAAATTAATTCCTTTGTGATCATCTTGTGTCTTTTGAAAAACTCTACTAATTTATAGAGTAGTGGTTACGAATCTGGCTGCTAATCTCCCGGTCAGCAATTCAAAACTACTAGCTGTTCCGCTGGAGAAAGATGAGGTTTTCTGTTCCCGTAAAGATTTACAGCCTCGGAAACTCTGTACAGGGTCACTATGAGTCAGTACCGACTCCACAGCACATAACAACAACAACAACAAATCATATATTACCTGTTTGGTATTCCAAAAAACCAGTAACCATCACCGTCTGAGTTCACCTCTCTGCCTTGAATTTACTAATCCAGCAGAGCCTCTCAGAAGCCACTGTCTTGACTGAACTGTTTTTGTTGAAAGCAATAAGGAACTCTGGGTAGCATGTTGTTGTTGTTAAGTGCCGTCAAGTCGGTTCCGACTCCCGAGGGTGTAAATCTTTACGGAAGTAGAAAGCCTCATCTTTCTCCCGCGTAGCGGCTGGTAGTTTCGAACCGCTGACCTTAAGGTTCGCAGCCCGATTCGTAACCACTACGCTACCAGAGCTCCTTAGCATAGTGGTTACAAATTGGGCTGCTAACCTCAAGGTCAGTAGTTCGAAACTACCAGCTGTTCCGTGGGAGAAAGATGAGGCTTTCTGCTCCAGTAAAGATTTACAGCCTCAGAAACGCCGTACAGGATAGCTATGAGTCGGAACTGACTCCACGGCACATAACCACCACCTATGCTGTGGGCTAATGAGTCGGATTCCAAAGTCGTTTTAACTGCAAGGTTAGTGGTTCAAGCTCACGAACTGCTCCTTAGAAATCCTATACAGGGTTGCTATGGGTCAGAATTGACTTGATGGCACTTAACAACAACAACAACAACAAAATGACACTAAGACAAGTATATCACTAAAAAAAAACTTTTCTTAGTGATTACACAGACATTTAAAAACTCATTTTGTTTGGCATAAACCCATGCATGTATGAACTGGTACAGTAGCAATGCTTTTTGACATACTCTCATATAGCTAAAAGAGATAGAAACTCTGCCATATGAAAAAAGTGAAAGGCAGGGAATACTGGCATGTAATGAATAGAGCAAGGAGCTCTGGTAGCGTAGTAGTTATGAATCGGGCTGCTAACCTCAAGGTCGGCAGTTCAAAACTACCAGCTGTTCCTCAGGAAAAAGATGAGGCTTTCTGCTCCGGTAAAGATTTGCAGCCTCGGAAACCCTGTGCAGGGTCGCTATGAGTCGGAACCAACGCCACGGTAATTAACAACACCAACAACAACAATGAATACAGTGGTGAGCACTGAAACCTCTGTGCTGAGAGAATCTTATTACAGGTAATGAACAAAGAAGGGACCGCCGCTCATTTTCTATCTTCCTAGACCAGATAAACAATTTCTCTTGTCACCTTCCAAGTTTAGTTTTACTACCTTACTGTGCCTTACAATAGCCTTGGAATTCTATCAGCTTTATGTCAGAAGGAAGAACACACTTTGGTATAATCTGGAAAATGTCATTTAAGGAATAAGAATTCTAGAGCTTCAAGATAAATTGAAGATCATTTTTCCAATTCCAGATTTTAAAGGTGAAAAAAGTGAGGCTATTTTGCAAGGGTGTTAATGTTCAACTTTGAGATGGGTATTAGCTTGATTCTTCTAATATTTAGATATTTTTCTACTAGTTGAAAACTACATGATCATAAGGGCAAAAACTCCCATTCTTCTTAGAAGAAGGATGATTATGTCATATAAATGTTATTATTAGTTTGAGTATATTTTTAGTACCTCTATAATTAGAAGGAAATAACGAGATAAAAATTGTTATCAAATCACAATCATGTCCATCATCTGAATTATGTTTAATAGAGTATGCAAAATAATTCCATAAACTGAGGTTTATTTCTAGTCTCAATTTAATCCTCTGAGTGAAGAATGAGTATCCATTTCAAGTGGCTAACTGAAGTAAAAAAAAATTTTTAAACATGTTAATATGTGCTGAGCACAATTCAAAAAATGTTATCTGTATCTTGCTTCATAATCAGATTGCTCTCTTATATTGTTCTCTACATTGACAGAGGTGGGACCTGAGATTCAGAATGTTAAGAAATTTTACCACATCACACCGATACTAAGAAAAGTTTTCATTTGACCATGAATCGGTGTTATTCAATCACCCATGCAAAACAACAGTGGTTTAGTTAAGACTTAGAAAATAAAATATTTTAAAGTCATAAATCTAAACAGAGTAGTAATTGGAAAACCACCAGCTCTCTCTTCTTTTGATACTAGTTTTAGTACTTAAACATGTGTGAATTAAAGTTTTACATATGAACATAGTTCACCAATCCACTCAAAAAATTATATAATCCATTTCCATACGCAGTCCTTTCATAAATAAGCACACACAAACCATTCACACAGCACCACACGTAGTACCTTTGAAGTGTAGAATATGTCTTCCCTCTTCACAGTGCCATCAGCAATCTTGCTTCGGATGGCTTGTCCAACTTCCTTTTCATTTTCATACAGATACGCTGAATCAATATGACGAAATCCAGCATCAATAGCTAATCTGGTTGCCTCCTCAGTTTTACTTTTAGGCACCTAAGGGAAAACCAAAGACAGTATTCAAGTATTCTCATTCTTGAATGAGAGATACCATTTCTTCATATCTCGTGTTAGCTCTGCATGTGAGGTGCTCACTGGTTTGCTTGGAAGTATTTCATTTTAGGAATGAAGTTGGGAATCCCAGGAATTCTTTCAGTTCAAGGAGACTGGAGTTGTTTTTCACTGGCATTGGTGGTCCCCCAAACCACCCCTAGGTTCAGGGATCTACTGATACAGCACAAGGTTGTTTTTATGAGTATGATTTGTTAGAGTGAAATGATAAGAAAAATCAAGAAAGGGACAAGGTTTATGAAGGGAAGCACTGAAGAAACCATGTTCAAGCTTCCAATTGTTTCTAGTGCAGTCACACAGAATACTCTTGATTCCTCCAGGATGGAATTTTGATAACATGTGGGCAATGTTTCCTGGTGGTGAGCTCATTAGAGACTCAATGCCCAAGCGCTTTCCCAGGGGTTTAGTCACATAATCACTTTCTTGTCTAACACATAACAAAATACCAAAGTCACAAAAGGAACTGTGATTGAGACTAAATCTTTTGTGTACATAGTTTGGTACAGTCAAACACACTTATCGAGTAAAGGATGATGGGATCCCTTTTAAAACCTAGTTCTGGGTGTTAGCCAGGACCATACTTGAATCAAACTTCATACTTGAGCCCATTCCAACTCATAGCAACCTTTGTATAGGGTTTCCAACGAGCAGTCCAGTGCTGATCCTAACAGTGCCACATCAGGAGTCCTCTTTCTAAATAGGTATAAAATGTGTAGTCTAGAATATAGATTCATACCTAAAAACTTAAAATTAATTTTAAACTTAAAAACGGAGTCCTGGTGAGGCCTTGTGCTGGACTGCAAGGTGGGTTAATGCGCTGTATTGCAAGGTTGGTTTGAACCACAAAGTCTCGGTTCAAGCTCACCAGTAGCTCCTCGGAAATCTTATACGGGGTCACTATGAGTCCGAACCAACTCCACTGCACTCAACGACAGTAACAAACTTACAGCAGTCTTAAAGGATTCATTAGGTGCCCTGAAAGCCAAGACCAATTCAATTAGGAAAGCTTTCATTATAGTGAAATTCCATTTTTTGTCTACTAAAAGTTGTGAATGTGGTCTCTCCATATACTAAGCACTGGACTGTGAGCCACAAGGTCCATGATTTGATGAGGATTTCTGCTCCTGCAGAGATTTAAAGCCTCCAAAACCCTATGTAGGGTCGCTATGAGTCAGAACCAACTTGATGGTACTTTATAACAACAACAGCTAAAAGTTAGACACAGAATTTAGAGTGTACTGAATAAAGGACAAAAAGAAAAATTAAATGAAATGTTTTTCATATCTTTTAAAGTATTTTTAAGTTTCACTTTTCAAGATACTCAATCCTTACTGCCCTCTAGTGGCCACCAGCTCTCTCCTTGGGTTTAACAACATGCGGTCCTCACAGATTCTGAAGCGTCAGGGATGTGGTTGAACTTTCCTTTTCCTTCATCCTCCTTTGCACTACTAAGTAGACAAGTCCTATCACTGTTCTCCATAATGTCTCTTGAATAGTTTCACCCATGTTACAGATGAGAAAAGTGAGACCCCAAGTTTAGTTACGAGTCCCTTGTCACATGGCTAAGTAGTCTGAAAGACAAAATTGGTTGTGGTGGTGATGTGCATTGGGTTGGTTCTGACTCTTAGTGATCCTGTATAGGGTTTCTGAGGCTATAAATCTTTACAGAAAAAGAGGAAGACCCCCAACAAGATGGATTGGCAAAGTGGCAGCATTATTGATCTCAAGTGTGGCAGTAATTGTGAGGTTGGCCCAGGACTGGACAGTGTTTTGTTCTGTTGTGCATAGGGTTGCTATGAGTCAGTACAGACTTGATGGCATCTAACAAGAACAACAAATCATTATGGGAGCAGGAAGCCTCATCTTTCTTCCTTGGAACAGCTAACAGTTTCGAACTGCTGACCTTGGGGTTAGTAGCCCGACTCATAACCACTACGCTACCAGAGAGACAAAATTAGAATGCAGATTATCTGACTTTCAGTCTACTGCCTCGTCTATCCCTTTTGTTTCCTCTTCTTTTTGTCTTCTCTTTTTGCAGTGCCATCAGCAATCATGCTTAGGGCGGCTTGTCCAACTTCCTTTCCATAAATAGCTCTACCTATTTGCTTCAAATCTAAAGTACATTAAGAAAGACCACGAATTAAAGACTTGTCTTATAAAATTATAGATTTTCTCCTAAAAACTTGTTATATCTCCTTTCAGGAAGAGTTTTCCAGCTGAGGAACATATGAGGGAAACTTGGCACAGTCAGATAAACAGTTTATTGTCTTGTGCCCAGCACCTAAATTGCAATTCTCTACATATTCATTCCCAGGTCTCTTTCTGCAAAGACTACTCTGCATCTTGTCTCCTTGACAGGAGGAAAGATTTCTTGAGCCATAAAAATATACAGAGATACCCATCCCAATCTTTTGACAAACTATGATATTAATGAAAACAAGAGGAAAAACCAATGCCAAGAATAATCCAGGCAACCACATATCAGAGAGTCAAACCTGCAAACTGTCCCACTATATCCACGGGATAGCTGTAGCCTGTCAAAACTGAGGCTCCAGTGAACATCTCTAGAGTCACACAGGAACTGGGAATGTGACAATCCAGGCTTTCTTCCACTCATCTTGGGACTGTTTTAATTTGAACCCTCAACTTCAGGACCCCCGTACTTACCCCTTCTGGTGCATAGGTGCCAAATCCCAGAACAGGCATGAAGTGACCATCATTTAGTTTTACACACTGATGTTTGAGATCCATCTCTGTCTCTGTTCTGATTTAGAAGAAACTGTTTTCTTTCCTTGGCTTCCGCCAGAGATATCATCAACAGGAAATAAACATGCCATGGGGCCAGGCCAAGTGTTATGAAACAGTATGTAGGAGGGGTCAAGTTTAAAGCAGTATTCCATGAAGTGAAAAGAAAGTAGTTCTAACTTAACTAGTTTTTTTCCCCTCTAAAGTTAATTGTTAATTATTCTATAATGATAAAGAAATCTTTCATGCTTTGTGAATTTTCAAGATCACTCATATCTAGTAAATTTTCTCTTCTGTTATTGCCATTGAGTTGGTTAAGTGCTGTTGAGTTGGTTCTGACAGTGACCCTGTAGAGGGTTTCCAAGGAGTGGCTGGTGGGTTTGAATTGCTTACTTTGTGGTTAGCAGTCCAGTGTTTATTTGGCAGTATACTGTAGCAGGACTCCAGAATATTATCCTAAATTGTAAAAACATGCTTACTGAATAATATCAACCATTTGTTAGATTTGTTGTTGTGCTGTGGAGTCAGTTATGACACAAGAGTCACCCTGTATAGAGTTTCTGACGAGAAGCTGGTGGGCTGAATCACCAATCTTGTGGTTAGCAGTCCAGTGCTTATCCTACAGCACCACACCAGGATTCCAGAGTTGTTATTGTTGTTGTTAAGTACCGTTGAGTCAGTTCTGACCCATAGTGATCCTGTATAGGGTTTCCGAGGAGCAGCTGGTGAGCTTGAACCGCCAACCTTCAAATGGCTTTGCAGGCTGACGCATTAACCCACAGCGCCACACCAGGACTCCAGAGTAGATACCTCTATTTCTAATTCTCTTCTGATTTTTGTTCATGGTGATACTTCTTGATCACACATCATTTACAATTAAATTTCTTACACCACACACACACATGCATGTGTGTTTAAAGAAATGGTTCATGGTTATTTTCAGAGTCGACCGTCAATAATCAAAAGCAGAAATTAAAACAAAAATTGTAATTTTAATTCCCTCATCTACAAAGTTAAATTTCATTCTGCTTTTTTTATTCTGCAATATGAATATCTAGTCTTGGCAAGCCTTCAATGAAAACTGGCAGTTTTGCATGGTACTTTTGGCATGTAAATGATTAATGGTGTTTCGATATCAGTTTGCAATACGTAACCAGAGCCCTTCAATTAATTTTATCTTTCACCCAGCTATACAGCTTTTAGAAAAGTATCATAAACTAGCCAAAAATGAAGTCAAATCATGTCTATAATCTATGATCTTGCTTTGCAAGAATCACAAAAGAAAAATAAAACCCTGCAATGAACTAAGATTACTATGAATTTAAGAAATGCTTGGTCCAAGTCCTGGTGTGGCACTGTAGAATAAGCACTGAACTGCTAAACACAAGGTCAGCAGTTCAAATCCACCAGCTGGTCCTCAGAAATCCTACACAGGGTTGCTATGGTTTGGAAACCACTTGATGGCACACAACACAGCAACAACAACAACACAGGTGCACTATGATGCCCTGATACAATGGAGTATCATGAAAGCTATTAAAGACTAAACATAAATATAGTATTTATTGTTGTTGTTAAGTGCTGTTGAGTTGGTTCTGACCCACAGCGACCTGTATAAAGTTTTCAAGGAGCAGCTGGTGAGCTTGAATTGCCGACCTTATAGTTCAAACGGCTTTGCAATCTGTTGTATTAACCCACAGCGCCATGCCAGGACTCCTAAATATTGTATTTAGGATGAATTTAAAATGTAGAACTAAAGAATATTAATGGACTGATTACAAAAGCAGGGTATTTATTATGCATATGGAATAATATATGGTTACATAATATTCATTAATGGGAGGGCAAGGCCCCAAACTTTTAATAGTGGTTATCTCTGAGTAACTGTGGGTGATTTCTTATTACCCTATCAGTACTTCTTAAAGTTTTCTAGAAGTATTCGGTATCACTTTTTTAGTTGCAAAAAAAATGTTTACTTGTAAAGAGAGTAAATATCTACCCCAGTACAATCAAATACAAGGGAGTGTCCTGGCAGACAGTCAACATTCCATACTTTTATCTCCAACTGCCTTTGTTATTTTGACTTCACTTTTCTCAGCCATAGTTAAACTTTGGACTAGACTTCTGATTTAATAAAGAACTTGAATTTCAGAAGTCTCCAGGCTTGGATTTCCTGGACACAACTACCATTTCTTTTCTCTCTTGAGCTAAGGATTTTGGGGGCAGTCTTTGGATTAAGGGGGCTCCCAAATGGCCTAGCTGGAAATACTATGTTGTTGTTATTAAGTGTCCAAGTGTCTTGCTCCCAAGTGTCCAGTTGGTTCCCACTCATAGTGACCCTGTATAGAATTTCCAAGGAGTGGCTGGTGAGCTTGAACCTCCAAGCTTGTGGTTCAAATGACCTTGCAGTTCAGCGCATTAACCCACAGTGCCCCTATAGCTTGTCAAAATCTCTGTTGGAATGGCCTGGGTTTAAGACCAGAATTACCTGCTTCCCATATCACACCTGTACCCTGGGATGTCTTTCAACAGCTTTCAGTAGTGACTTCTTCTTTTCTGACTTTTATATGACTTGAATTTCCTATAAACAACATAAAAAATAAACATAGTGATTCTGTTGTCAGGAGACTCCTTAGTCCCATGTGCAAGTGTCAAGAAGTGTGTTCGTTATTTTCTCCAGTTTCTGTGTTTCTCCGTCTCCACTCCTCCACTTAATAGACACAACCCCTCATTCTGTGTTGCCATGGTTCCAGGAGAAATAAAACCTTGTAGCAGTTTAAATCTTTGTATTTACACATTTATGACTCTCAGGGCTGAAGGGGGATGTTGTTGCTCTTAAGTGCCGATGAGTTGGTTCCAACTCATAGTGACCCTGTGTAGGGTTTCTGAGGAATGACTGGTGAGCTTTAACTACCTACTCTGTGGTTCAAACTGACTTTACAGTTAGCGCATTAACCCATAGTGCCACACAGGGACTCAATTAAGGGGGATACTGAAGGCCAATTCAAAACACAGAATAAGTGAAAATATCACTTTGCTATGAAAATGGATACAGATTTTTATTGGAAATGGGAATTATATTAATCTCTAAGTTAAATTATCAAGAGATAAATGCTATAGGACACATTTGTAGTTAAAACACAAATATCTGTTGGGTATTCATCCAGTCTGGATTCAATAAGAACAATTTCACCATGTTGGGCTAATGATCCCATTCTACTAGAAATGTTTCCCCTAGATGTTGTTGTTTAAGTGCTGTCGAGTTGGTTCCGACTCATAGAGACCCTGTACAAGGTTTCTGAGGAGTGGCTGGTGGGTTTGAACCATTGACCTTAATAGTCAAACTGAACTTATGGTCCAGTGCTTATCCTACAGCACTACACTTAACTTTCCACCCACAAATGCAGATGGGTAAAAAGTAAGCACAATTCTTTATTTTCTTGCTACCTTGATCATTCATATGAATGTCATGGGGGAGGATCCCACTGTCCCACAGACTGAAGAGCAAAATTTTCAAGATCTCTCTGTTAGGCAGCTGGAACAGGGAATGAGAGGTTAACCACAAATTAACTAGAGCAAACACCAGATGTATTTCACCCAATCAGAAAACCCAAATAGAAGAAGATTGATAAAAGTGACTTTCTCCAAAATCAGAACTGCCCAGAGAAGACGAAGACTGATCAAATGTGACCAAGGAACTAATCATAATACCACTATAATAAACCAGCATTGCTATTAGATAATCAATACAATTATAACAGACTGGATGAGAAAGAAGTACATCAGATCCAAGACAAAATGACCAATTATGGGTCCTAAATGATGATAGGAAATCATAGGGATCAGGAGACAACTATCAGGAGACCCAGAGCCCACCCCAGACAACAGCATAAAAAGTGAACTCACTCAGCCAGTGCTCCCCTTACTCAAAGGCAGTAGTCTGTTCTCCTCTCTGTGAGAACGTCTATGCTTTAATAAACCTCCTTGCATGCTTGAACCTGTGACTCTCTGGTTCCTTTCATGTGCACATTTTGCCTACACCCTGATGATTCTTCGGAAGGATAGTTAGAACAGAGCAGAATGTGTCGTCCATCTGCACTGAGGAACCTCTGCTCAGTGTTTACACTGAGAAGCTGATTGTCCTAAGTTGTTTGGTTCATTGAAGTATGGAAGAAGTAAGCACATGTACTTATCCATTCAGCTCTCTGAAGTTGGCTTAAGAAGAAAAGGAAGTGGCTTCTGCCTTGAGAACTCAAAGCCTAATTGTGACTATAGAAAGCAGTCGGCAAAAAAAAGGCCTGAAAAGTGGATGCATCAAAGGTCGTAACTATTCTGGGAGAAAAGGACATGTTTTAGTTATCTATCCAGTGTTGTCACAACAAAAAATATAACAAATGAGTGGCATCAAAGAATTTGTTTTTGTTTTTGTTATACTTCTGGAGGCTAAATGTTCTCAGTCATGCCAATTCCTTCTGTGGGCCTGCCTCCTAGTTTCCTGTGGCTATTAGGAATTCTTTGCATCCCTCTGATTATATACTGGTCCTCCCTTAGCATCTATCTTTACCCTGTTTGTGTGTGCCTGTATATTCTTCTCTTTGTCTAAAACACCACTCAGAAGTGATTCAGTTTAGGACCCACCATCATTTACACAACACAAGAAACCCTATTTCAAACAGGGCCATAGTAGTAGGTATGGCGGTCATAACTTCAACCTAATTCTTTGGAGAGGATAATTTAATCTATAACAGCCTATTACTATCAGAGAATTCTTTTCTAATTCTATAAATGATGAACATATTCCATCAATGAGTGTCTAAAAGAGTACAAACATTTGGCATCCAAACTCACACTGATCAAGGACAGTTGATAAGTGAGTTAAAGATTTAGTGAAACTTTTTTTATTTGTTCACCAGCTTTTGAAGTTGTTCCAGCAAAACTAGTTAGCTGTGCTCTTATTCTCAGATCCATCCTGTTTGTCTTCTATATTAGGGAAGAACCCTAACTTC